TTTTTATACTATTGGTCTAGCAAAAGACACTGCACCTTAAAGTGTGTAATATGGAGTGGTCTTTAGTGGGGTTATCTTTTTTTTGTCTATGTTCATTTCTATTTTGCCTCTCTTTCTGTAGTTTATGGTCTTGTTTTATAATTATTTTTTAAAGAGAATATAAGGCTCGTCTCTGTCCCAGAGGTATTCCTTCTCTAGATAAAAGGCGTTTTAGAAGGGTGAGGTTAAAGCCGATTCCAAATGAGTAGTCATGTACATCTACTTTGAGTTTATTTTAGACAGTGACCAATTACCTTGTGCCTTCATCAAAACTTTGCTTTAAAAAAAGATTAGGCAGCGAGTCAAATTTTTCTGCAAAGTGAGATAACAGTCCTGCGTTTGAGTATTTGCAGACCTTATTAAACTGATGTCTTCTGCTCTGCTCAGCTCAATAATAAATCTTGGTCACTTTAAATAGCTATTTTTATGCAACCAGCATTAAAACTTTAGTAAAGAATTAAATGTACTCTTTCATTCATGAAGCTGTTTATCATTTGTGAGCTGTAAATAATAGAGTAGGCACATTTATTTTTGTTTTTAAAGCTGATGGTGGTGACAGCTAAATGTAAGAGACAATAACTCATTTTTTATTGTTAATATGCATCGGAGGATGATGGTTACTAGGGTTTAGTGAACTGGAGCAGCAGTTATAATGTCTTGTTCAAGAATGTGCCGATTTGTTTTTACTTTCCCGAAACCTTTTATTTAAATTGCTCTAAGCTTGTTTTTTTTAGTTGGAATCATCCTTCCAACCAATAGAGACATTAGTACTGTTAATTAGCGTCATTGTATTTTCTGCTTCAAGGTTTATGAAAAATTGCACTTGCTGAATCCAGAGCTTGAGGCTGAGGAGATACTGATGTCCCCAAACTCTGTACTAAAACTTCAGACTAACAGGTAACGAAAGTCTTAAATTTCAGTTTCCTGAAGGCTGACATTTGGAGAACTAAAATGCCTCTTTCACATCTTTCTTGTGGCTTGTTTCCAGGGATGGTGTCGGTGTTCTTACTTACCGTGTGCTGGACTGTCCCGACAAGGCAGTCTTAGTCCAGGTGGATGAGAAGGGCCTGCTCTCTTCGGGCTCGCTTACTGGCACGGCTTCACTAGAAGTGAATTCCCAGGAGACCTTTGGAGTCAATCAAACTATTATTGTTGCTGTGAAAGTAAGTCTCGTCATTTTTCAGATATACATCGGATTACTTTTGTGCAAAAAGTCAAGCCTTTGTATTAAACTACTTAGCTGCTCTTGTGTTCAGAAAGTACCAGCTTTGTGTGCTTTGATTTTAAGATTAGCCTGGAGAGCATACAGATCGTATTTACCATAATGAATTAAGTAGTATGGAAATGGTACAGATGTTCTGAATGAGATGCTTTTTTTGCAGGTGGTTCCTGTCTCATTCCTGAGGCTCAGTACCAGCCCAGTCTTGTACACTGCAAACAAAGAAACTCTCTCTGCCCTACCTTTGGGAACAACGCTTACTTTTACTGTTCACTTCCATGACAGCAGTGGGGATGTCTTCCATGCACAAAACTCTCTCCTTACATTTGCAACAAACAGGTACCGTAACTGTATCCCCCTGAAGATGTTCATCTGTGTTCTATAGCCTGTTCTCTTTATTGCTTCGGTGAACAGTGCGTATAAGGGCACAGAGACGTCTCCCACACAGTTCATTAAATTGGAATGATTTAGATCCGTTCAGCCTCTTGTTTTTCTGCAGCTGAATGGATGGCGATTTGTGCACCCAAAATAACCTTAATTAATTAGTCTTTTAAAATAGAAAAGTTAAAATTTAGCATTTCCCCCCCCCAAGAGAAGGTTCCTCTTATGAATTTCTCCTTCTCATGTGAAGGGAAAGGGAGGATTTCTCTCACTGTGATTTCAATTAAAATGAAGAGAATGTGAGCTTATCCAGTCACCTGAGTATTCCTTTTGTTCAATTTTTTATGTTTATATATATATTTTTTATTTTTAATGTTTATTAAAAGAAGGCCCAGATGTGCGAGGAATAATAAAATGAATGATCTTGATGGTACTCATTTATACAAGGCATAAAAGGGCTTCACTCTCGCTAATGGTTGCACTTTATTAGACAAAGATAGAACTCCTATAAATAAGTAAGTTAGAGATTGTTAAACTTGTAGCTAATCGGGTTTATAGGGTTCATGCAATAATTTGTACGATGGTGCTTTCCTCATGATTTCGCCCAGCAAGTGCCTTTCCACCTGAACGAACTAAATTAATGAAAGTAAGTGAAACACAGAAACATTATAGCATTTCTGTCCAGGGTACTAACTAGGAAACCTTTGATTCAGCCACAGACTAAATTGTTTCTATTACTTTGCTTGCAAGCAGCTGGCAGACCATTTGAAAGCTAATGGGGACTAAATAAGTGAGCTTGGGACACAGCAAGCAGCAGGGGAACACTTTAAAACTAGATTTTGAAAGTTGCAGGCCATGTATGACATTACTTTGCCCTTAACATTTACAGAGTGAAATTCCCACATACCGATTTGCTGTCTGTAAATGTGAAGAAAGTTAGACCACAGGAGATAACATGAACCCACCAGAGGGAGTTTTTAGCAACAAGTGGACTATACAGTACACCTGCTGTTCCAGATGTAAAAGTTTATAGTCTGTTAGTTTTTTTTTTAATGTACACTTTTGGCAGCCAAAGGCAATGTTTTTGAGAGAAGCATATAGTGTAAACTCGCAGTTGTCCACGATTATTCATTGTGTAATCTCAGTTCAGAAGAGAGGTAGCTGCGTCATGGTGCCCTCCTTTGCCTTTAAGTTTATATAAAGAGGCAAGTGAATTCTGATTAACTTCATTGGGAATTCAGTTTGCATTAGGTTTTGGTGCACATGTACAATGTCATATATCACCTTTTCTTGTAAAGTGTTTATTAAGAATGCTGCTGCAGATGGTAAACTGGAAGTTCAGTCAACAGCTGTACAGAATCGTTATTGTACTTGTTTACCAGCCTTGTAAATTCTAAATTGCCTTCCAAGTGCTTTTATTTCAGTGTAGATCGTTGGCATTTTCCCGTTTACTGAGTGAAACAAAGCACATAAAGAAATCCACTTGGTCAGTGTGGATCGGCATTGACAGGTTATTGTTTTTTTTTTGCCCCCCTGTAGGGATGATCTTGTGCTGGTTGGGAAAGGACCAAGTAACAACACCTTTATTGTTCGAACTGTGAATGTGGGGCTCACTTTGCTGGCTGTATGGGATACAGAGCAAACTGGAATAGCCGACTACGTGGCTTTACCCGTTAGACACGTCATTCACCCTGAGGGGGCTGAAAGTCTGGTCGTCGGCGATGTTATCTGCTTTCACACTCCTCTTGTGAGTCAAGAAGGTGGGTAATCGCAGCCTCCAATGCTCAGAAATTAAGCCGAAACTTGAAACTTTAAAAATTTTAGAAGGCTTCTCTTAATTGGACTTCATTGAAATCCGACTTCATATGTTTGTCAGCAAAATGCGTTTTATTGAGTGCTTTCAGATTTTCCGGAATAAGTGTTTGAGTTTATAGAGAGCATTTTATATAGTTGATTGGTTTACCTCTGCCCCACTGCCTCGTGTAATTCTCTGAAAGAATTGGTTTCTGTGAACCCCATTAATCCAAAGCAAGATACTCTTAAACGTCTACTGTGTAAATGTTCTCAAATAATAAATCCAAGTAGACAAGCTATTTATCTTTGTTAGGTAACATAATAGCAGAACAAGGCGCTCTTTAAGGTGTTTAGTCTTTTGTGGGTCGCCATCCTAATTAAAACATTGAGAGTCATGTACTAATACTATATAATACATTTATGTGAATTAGTAGCTTTTAGGACACATTTTGTTGAAAACGATCATGCAAATGAATAGTACTCAATAGCTATATATATGTTAAGTGTTCTTAAATTTTACATTTAAACATTGATTGATAAGCATTTTAAGATGCTGATTTTTTTTTGCACTAGACCGTTTGATAATTGTGTAGCTTTACTTATTGTACTCATTGAAACATCTTTGATCTTAGGAGTTTCTGGCACATGGAGTTCCTCATCTGGAAGTATCCTCCAAGTTGATGCAAAGACAGGCACAGCAGTTGCAAGAGATTCAGGATCTGTCACTGTGTATTATGAAATTCCTGGCCAGCTGAAAACCTATAGAGAGGTAATTGTCTACACTTCCTTCTCATCTGGTAATATAAAGAACAAAGTTACTGTAACAAAGCTTTTTAATACTTGTGTTGACCATAAAATACTCTGGTACTATGTGATACAATGTGGATTACTAGCATTTAGTGCCTTAGTGAACCTTCTGCGGGTGCAGAACATTTCTTTCATGTGTAAAACTTTTGTCATAGTCTTTAATTTGAAATAAAGACCCTGAGCCAATGAGGAAATGAGAACTGCAGCCAATAACTTCATTTGTTTTAAAAGAGGCAGGCAAGGTATTCCAACATTCCTAACTGACTAAAGAGCTGCAGTGTGGTATTCCAAGTTTTCAAAGTTTATGGTTCATATCCAGAAACATTCCTGAAAGGTTCAGAAAGATTTTATTTTCATGAAACTCAGATCAGTAGCATTTTAAGGTCATCCTGTTCCAGTTATTAAATTTTCTCCAAGTCCTTTTTTTTAACCGGTTAAAACAGATTATTTAAATGTGTTAGTTAACTCCTGTACGTATATCTGAATTGGGTTGATTATGTGCAAGTCCACTGGCCAAAAACAGCATGGAATGTTTTACTTTTTCTGATGGTATGCAATGTTTACTATTTAGCCATGCATCTTCATATTGGATGCTCTGTAATAGTAGCCAGATCTGTTATATTTCTTCCTTTAAAATGTAGAAAAATACTGTTCCAAAGCTTAGCCATCTTATACAGTGGTAAGGTAGTGGATCACTATTTTGATTCGTGTCTGAGTAGCTCTTGAAACTGTTATTTAATGCCTTGGCGCAGTTATGGTTCATTAGATTCATAACCTTGCCCTGACTCTTTTGCACAGAAAGCTTCATCGTGAATTATGCCATGGAAGGACATCCCAGGTTGTTTTCTAAAATGTTTACAAACCCAATGCGTACACCAGCAGGACTGAGTACTCCATCTGTCTATGCTTTCATCAGATGCTTCACACATCTCATGACTGGTTTCATACAGTTGCATGCATCTCCTCTTTTGCCTTCAACAAAATATTACACTATCAACTGCTATAGAAAATACATTAGCTGCTTTGTAGTCTTACATCTGCTAATCGTAGCACTCTGTGCCATCAAGAAAATGCAGTCTTTCATATGTCATTGGAAAGTGGACATTCTTTCACATGGGGAATCATTTTGTCTTTGTTGGGAAACCGTTGAACGTGTTTTCAGCTGCTTTCATCTAAGCTTCTTTTAAATACATCAGCCAGTGGCTTACTGAAAGGAAACCTAGTAAGTAGACAAGGCTATTACTTGCAAATAACAAATGAAATAAAGGCCAGCGATTGCATTATTTAATTTTTCATAGCCTGCATTAGTATTTTCTTTTCTGTCAGTGTTTTGTGGGTTGTGTTGTCCAAGTGATGCTTAATATTTGTGAAACCACACAGTTTGCAAAGTACAATGCATAGCTCTGTTTATCTGCCTGGCTGCTTGAATATTTTATCAATTATATATAATTTGCTTTGAAACTTTTGGCAAGAACCCTGTCTGGGTGCAGTCCAAGTTTTGATCTTTCAGAGACCTATCAAGCTAAAAAATATATATTTTGACCTCTCTAAAGATGGCAGAAGAGGTCCACAACTCACCAGTGGTTCTCATTAGTCTTTTCTTACTTTCACACCCATGACACTCAGAATGTAACATGGGTGATCATAAGTGGTTAATAGAAGGTGGATCAAAAACCTTGGCTATTACTGGTATAAACTAAAATATGCAAATATGCAAATGAAAAGAACTCCAGCTGAGGTATTCATTGATTCAATAATGCTATTTAATTTTAGCAAGAGAATATACACACTTGCTCATCCATGTTGTTAATTAAGGTAAATCTTAAAATACACGAATAACATGTTATTTTCTTCCATTAAATCATTTTTTCTAACAGTGGAAGAGTCTTTGAGATATCCACACACCTTAAAGTTAAAGGATTAAGTTCTCCGTTTACAACTGTAAACAACTACCATTTATTATTTTTGCTGACTTCTTCGTACATTTTTCAAACAGACTGTGCTGATGTCTGAAGCTGCTACTGGATCAGTAAGAAATGAGTGGTGACAATAAGAAACATATTGGTGGTCTCATTTTCTTTACCTTCCTCATTTTAGAGAGCAAGAGGTGTTGTTCCACAATTCCTTAGCCTGAATGTACTTACTTATTGAACACCTTATTGAACACTAGTCAATTTTTCTAGCAGGTTTTTTTCCCCACTGTCACTTTTATTAAGTGGTCCTTCAATGCAATTTTGCCTTTAGATCTGTCAGTTGTTTCTGTGTTTATTCTGAGTTTAGTACTTAAACAAGTATGTCACTTGCGTGAATAATGACGCTGCATGTTTTCAACAAAAATAGGATACCTACTACTATTGACTTTAGTATGGATACCATATCTGTTCCAGCCTGAAGCTAGTTTGAGCAAAAGAGTACAACATTTCCTGCATATACTGCAACTGAATTATTCCTGCATTGTTTTCAGAAGAGGTAATTGATGGGAGGTAAAATGTTTAGCAGACTGTTCTAGTGACAGAACCATTACATGGCTATAGGAATTTAATTTCTGTATTTAGTGATAACAGAACTAAATTGTATATATTGTTCAATAATGGAGTTTATCAAAATAAATACCACATAAGCATTGAGCAAAGGATCCCTGTAAAAATACAATGTTAAAATGTGTAAAGTGTAAAACACTCAGAAATCCTCTTATATGGAAGTGTGCCTCACCGTACAAGTCATCATTGATTCTTTGAAGCTTTAAAACCCATTCTTGAGGATAGCCAATCATTGGCATTCTCTTTAAAAAATAACTCTAGCTGCTCAGCGATAGGAGTGCGAGTTAAACAGATTTATCAACCGATCTGCTTTTTCTGGGGGATAAGGGTGTTTACTTTAAAGCTTATGAAATCTTTATGATTTGCAGTACTGGACAGAATTATTTCTTTTGCTATTCATGGAACAGCTGTTGTGCTCTGAGCCACTGCACTGTTCCCCAGTCCTCTCATGAGCAGTGCCACAGCAGTCTCTGCTCATACAAAGCTGTTTCTTTTATTTAACTGAGAGCTTTATGCCAAGAAAATGATCCAGATTTGAGCACAAAAATGGTAGATTTGATGACTCATGCTCAAATGTACAAATTTGTCTTTAGCATTCAACCCTTCTCACGCTAAAATGCTTTTTATTTGGTTGGCCTGCAATTTGATTTTATTCCTGAATGTGAATTAAAAAAGCGCTAGTTTTGTGTCAGTTTTAATTCGTTTGGTATTACTGTTTTATTACAGTATTATTACAGTTTTATACATTATGAATATCGAATCATGATATACATTAGCCCTCACTTTCTGTAGTGCCTGTAGTGCATCTTTTGGCATTGGTCGTTCTACACCATGTACCAGGACAATCTTTGTATTGCGGCAGGACATTGGTACACATCTTAATCAGGCATGAACAACAGGCTAAGGACTGTTTTAAGGGGATGGCTGTATATATACAGTAGGGAATTTACATCTGAAATAAAAAGATTCCAAACTGTGCAGAGGGTTGTGACAAGGGCACCTGAATTTTGAAGACAAAATGTGCATTTTTGCACACCAATAACATGTAAAATACAGTGTAATGGGTTTTTATGCCATTGGTCTCGTGAACGTTTAGCTGAACTCAACCATGAAAAATACATTAACAGTTAGTACTGGTTTGAGTTTAGTTTTCTTAATGGACTCATAAACATGAAGAACCATAATTCATTTTACGTCCGACTCAATGGACAGCTTTCTAAACAGGCATTGAACAGACATAATTTCATCAGTAAATTATCACGTTGCTGTCTGTACTAACCTTTCTAATAATTCTATGTGAGGACTGAAAAAGTTAAGATTGATAATCAGTAGCTTTGTTTTCTTTTTCTTTTTTTTTTTTTAGAAATTAGATTTTGACTCTTGTGCAGTAATTCTTCCAGGAAGCTAAAGTAAATACCGCTAACATCAATGTACTGTATTACTGCATTTCAAGAAAGATTCCACTAGCCATTCTTGGGGAAAAAAATAATTTAATTTAATTTTTAGTTCCTCGTACTTGGAGTATTAAATGTACCTCGGTGCATGAGACAAATACAGAGTTTTCAATAGAGAAATGACCCAGACTTCTTGATAAGTCACATATCGCCATCTGGTTTGTCTTAGGCTCTATAGATTTACCATATTGGTGCAGTAGAATCCCAAATTTCAAACAAGGTCCTGATGGATAAATTAAAATAAATTACGATGGAGGTGATGTTCATTAATGCCCTAATGTACATTACTGAAAACATTGTAATGGGAAAGTTTAGAGATTTAAGATTTAAATAACTTAGCTAGGTTTGTACCTGTTATATACCAAATGAATTGCTACTTCTTGCTTACTAGGCCTGAAATCTAAAAACTACAGATCTCAAGTTATTACCATACAGATTTATGAACCTGTTTGAATCTTGTCAATTACACTCATTTCAGAACAGGTGTGTCATTAAAACATTAACTGAAACAGAAGCCCAACCTTTTTTTTTTTTTTTTTAATCCTATGGGCTGTGTTTCCGACATTTTCCCTTGAATATATTGAATATTGAGCCTATTTCAGGCTCCGTTTCCCTGTGTAAAAGCCCCCCGATCATGCTGTTCTTATACAGTCCTTGTTGCTCTGATTTTAAGGTGGTGATTACCAGTGCCAGAAGGACAACTATAATGACACACACTGGAGTAAAGAACACTGGAGGAGAGGTGGATTCCAGGGTACTAGTTACCACACGAGAAACTGGCACCAATCTAATAGGTAGGATATTATGAAATTAATCATTTGTTGAAGCATGTATAAAGAGCACTTACATTATGTGGAGAACATGATTATAGCTCTGCAGTCTAATAAATCTGTGATGTATACAGAATTTTAAGAGTTCTTAATTTTCACTTATTGCAATGTTTTCACTACATGGTTATTTTTCATGATCTGCCTGTATTAAAATGACTTCTGAGTGCATCTAGTCAAAGCGTTAAGTGTTACGTTTTCAACCAAATTCAACTTGTATCTTTTAAGATTTATGAATGCAAATATGCATTTGTGATGTGGTGTATGAATTGGCATTGCTTTTTATGGGATTATTTTTTTTCATATTACCTACCGTTTGTAACAAGTGCCTATTTTCTATAATGGGATCTGAAGCAGGTTGGAAACCATCTCTTACTTTGTTTTAGTCCATTGAGTTAAAATCTAGAAGACATTGAGGACTAGAAAGTATTGAACAGATTTAGTCTTATCAGATCACCTAGGAATGCATTCTTTCCACTTGCTTGGCACTCAGTAGTGTCAGTATCGGCAGTGTGTGCTGAAATGTCCTCATTTGAAAAATCAACGCTGGCTATTAATGTGTTACAATCAAAAGAAAGCGAAGCGCACCTTGATTTTTTTGTTAGATACATGTTCATTGATTCTTTACAATTGTTTTTTTTTCCCCGTTTAGGGCTCTGTTCATCGCCTCAGCTTGAAGCTATCAGCGAGTTACACCCAGAGTCAAGCATCAGCTGTCAGCTCCAGTTCAGCAGTGATGCAGTTGACTTCCCTGCACATGACGTGTTTGTCATAAGAACAGGATTTGATCCAAGTACAGGTACAGATGCCTGGAATAACTGTGGGAGGAGTAATGTGCAAAGAGATGTATGGGCAATATCTGAAGAGCTGTATTCGCGTATATATGGGTGTAAAGACTGATTCACAATGTCATTACAGGTCTTTTTAATAAGTTTCATTTTGATCTTTAATCAATCGAGATTTATTGTTGAGGCGATAAGATTTTGCATTGAGTAAAGTTTTGTGATACTTACGAATGTATCGAAAAATTGTATGCTTTTCTTCTTGGCTAGTGATCTAATTTGCTGACTTGTACTTTATACTTATAATAACAGTTATAGTAAAGTGTTTGTAGGTATCTAGTTCTTCACTCCATTTGTTAATAAAAAAAAAAGCTGCCTGAGACCACTGACCGGTGAAGTAAAACCCATTTGGATCTTGAAAGTTTTGTGAGAAGGCATTAAAAATCAGGAGGGGTGAGAATGGGGGGGGGGATATGAGTAATTATTGTGCAGCTTGTGAATGTATTTTAATTAAAAGTAGATGAGGCACTTGAGTAAATTATACACTAACTATTAAAGGCTTAAATGATTTTTAACAACCTTATATAACTGTTTTGAACGTTCTAGGTTTTTACTCGTGCTCAATGAACGTGCAGCACTTGAATGACCAGCAGTTGAAGGTCCTGAGTACCACAAGAACAGGAGTGGTGGTGAAAGTGGGCATTCAGGGAAGCCATTTCTCAGGGGAACAAGATAGCGCGGAGTTACCCATTAATCCTGGCTTCTATGCTGATCAGAATGAGATCCTCTTGAGCGACCAGCACTTCTCCACCGATCTGACGGTTTACGGAGCCCTGGACATCCTGAGCCACCTGGAGGTGAGGCATTAACACTCAGGAACGGTTGAATTATCTGGCAACCTCTTTCGCTTTTCACCATAGGATGAGAAGGCGTTACATAATTACAGCTGATCAAGAAACATTCCCTTGTAACAGAATCCTCCTCAGAATCATTTGTGTTCCACCAAATCGTGTAGATACTGATGGGTTTGTCTAGGTTTTAGAATTATTTCTCTACAGATACAGTATGGTCACACAGTTCTACAGAAAACTCCACATCTGCCAAATTCTCAAGGAGGGGAAGTAGCCTCTGTCAGTATTTCAGACACTAAAGATTTTAGACTTAACAGAATGTTTTTCTATTGTTCCAGAAGCTGTGAGGACAAATACCAGTATTTAAGATACTAATGCAACTGGCTAACTGAATATGAAAAGGCAACTGATTGTATGAATGTCAAGGCATTCAATACAAAACCACAGAGAACTGAATTATAGCAGCTTCCTCAATATATAATAGTCATGATTACTTTGAAATCCTAGATACAGAAGTGGTTTGATGTTTAGCATGAGAATTATTTGTTTTTGGTTCTTGTTTCTTTTCTGTTTACTGACCTTTAAAGCTGTAATCAGCCATCATTTAGCCATCTGCATTTCCTGTCTAAAGCTGTGATTTCTATTAATAGTAAAGTACTGAAGTATTCTTGTGACTCATGTCTTGTCACGTTTTTGCGTAATTTCGATTGATTAAAATGTGCAAAATTTGGTTTCCTTCTATTTGAACTGTTAAAAATAAACCCACAAAGAGAGTGGTAGAACTCAACTGCACAAATAGCTTGGTTTTAAACATGGCTTTTTTATTTCCTAATTTTTAGCTGTTTTGTGTACTCCTTTGCCAACAGTAATGGGCTGATTCAAGCTGTGATGTGAACAGATATATATACTTGACTATAATTGATAACTGTGTAGATCTATTTGAAGGTGGGCAGATCTGAAAACATCCTATAGCAAGGAGCCTTGTGTAATGTTAGAAAAGTGTAATGAAGGTGTGCATCCTCTTCAGGTAACATCTAGCTCCCCTGTCATCGTTATCAACAAGAAGGAGGTCTCGGATGGGTTTCCCAGCTTTGTGAAGTTCGCCGTCAGCATTTCTGACCCAAGGCTAATCACTCAGGGAGCCATGTCAGCAAGAATCTCCATATCTAGCCCACTTAATGACCAGTCCATTATTATTCCTGTAACTGCAATCCATGTAACTGATAGAAGCACTGCAATGCAAGGTAGGTTTTAATTTAATTAGTCGTAGGTGCTGTTTGCATATTTCAGATCAATTGTATTTTAAAATGCTTGCAAAGAGCTGATAATGAACACCATGAATACTGTAAAGTAATTGTTCTAATACCATACAGTACGTAAATATGTTAATGTGGGGGAAATACTGGGGGTTTTGTTTAACTAGTCACTTCCAACAGTTGACTGTTAAAACGTTCATTAAATTAAAACCAGATATCGGACTGCACCTTAATTGGGAGTACTGCACAGAAAATGTGCAAGTTTAAAGTGCAAACAAGCCTAGGTAGTCTGAACTCCTTTTCATCAGCGATGCCTTGTCCCGTGTTGCAGCTGGGTCCACTGTGTCCAGTTCCTGGGAGGGAGCTGGGTTCTTCCAGTGGCTCATCAACTCCTATCAAGTGATGTTCTTCACTCTTTTTGCACTGTTGGCCGGCACTGCTATAATTATCATTGGTAAGTGCTCGTTTATTGCAATGTATTTTTCACTTATATCCATTACAGTGATTGCTATGGGGCTGCTCATCTAAAGCATCCATTTATTCTTTGTACAGCCTGCCATGCATTCCTGTCACCAAAGGAGCAGGTTTATCATCCAGCATTTATAAGGACCCCTACATCACCAGGTATGGTATAGAAGACATCGATTATTTCGTTCATGGATTCTGAAATGTAGGGTGCATTTTCATACTATTGTTTTTGTAAAAGATACCCTAAAGGAGAGCAGCGTGTAATACATCCATTGCAGTTGATTTTCTTTTTAAGCATAGAATAGGTGAGTGACTGTTTTCAAACACCCAGGGTTTTGCTCTCTCCAGTCCCATTTTGTGATGTTAAATCACAGTTGTGGAAACAGAAGGTTACTAAGCCAGCCTTTCGAAAATAGGGCTTCTATAAGACACTTGTGCTGAGGCACAAAACAGGTTCTTCATCACAAAAGGACACTGTACCTGCTTTCTGAGTTAAGTGAAGGATCGAGCACCAGTGTAATCGGGCAACTGCCACTTCCACAAATGTGCTCAAATAACAGACTTTCAGCTTGAGTGGAGTTATTGTTGTCCACCTTTTCATCTGTGCACACAAATTGCTTTACACCAAATAGTTACGCCAGCCAGTATTTTGTATTAACACTTGTTGCATGTGTCTTTTTAGGGTACGCCTCTCCTCCACTAAGCCCTTTCAGTGGCAAAGTACCAGCTGACTTGAGGGGCAGTCCTAAACTCCGACTCTTTTCTCCTGACTATAATTCCCGTTAGGATTTAGAACACTGCAATGCAAAGCACAGAGGACATTAAACCACCACCTAAAATAACGTGCCTTTCCTATACAATTTGAGACATCAGGATATTACTTTACAGGATGATTTTGTATTTCTTTCCACATTTTAAGATCAAAATAGGGTGTTGGGGATGTGAAAAAAATGGTATGTTTTGTGTTTTACATGCTTGAAATCCCGTCCTGTTTTTTTTTTTTAGTTTTACAGTATATATATATGTTGTTTATTTGATTTTTTTATTTGTATTGTCTTGTTGCTTGTTTGCAGTGTTAGACTTTTAAAAAACACTTTGACTTAAAACTGAGGTACCTGGATTTCGCGCTAATGTAATTCTTGCTTTGTGTGTTTTTGAAGCTACTGCATTCTGACCTGTGATTCTAACAGAAAAAGGAAAATTCACCTTGTGAAAAAGTTTTATATTGAAGAAAATGTTAGTTGTGGTAAAGCTCAGGAATGTGATACGCTGATGACCAGCATGGCACAGTAAGTGCAGGCTTTAGATACAGGCACTCCAGGAAAAAGTAATATGAAGTTTGACTTGGTGTGTTTTGTTTTTGCAATGCTGTTAATTTCCATAGTAATACAGCAATTTAAATGTGAATGTTTAATACCTTCATTTGAGCAGCTCACCTTAATCTATTTAATCTTTTCTTATAGACATAAAATATCAGTTGAGATAAAAGCAAAGACTGAATTATTTTGTGTGTTAAAAATCAAGGCAAAATCAAAGTACTATTTTTATGTCGGTGTTTTATGCACCATAACCTATAAGAGAGTTGCCTGACGAAAGTAAAGTAAATGTATTGAATGCCTTAATACCTCGTTAATGTATGAGCCTAAAGCTTTAGCTGTCTGTCCTGTGAAATCTGGTAATGTGAAAAGGTTTTACTGTGAGTCCTTCCTATGCAGCTTACCTTTCTGTGTTTAAGTCATCCACTGGAAATAACTAATAAAGGTGAATGATTAGTGTGAAAGACACTGTTCTTGAAAAAAGTATGAAGAAACCAGTTGCCTGTTCATATGATTATTTTTGGTGAAGTTCAAACTGAGTCTGTTTTAATTAAGCTTAAAAGTACCTGCCAAGACTGCAATGCCAATTTTAAGTATTTAGGGATCTAGGAAAGAATTTCTATTTTTGTTATCTGCAGAGTTTAAAAAGTTTGTAACTTGTCTTCATTTAGCATTTTTAGGAGTGTTGACTTATATGATGCCTTATGAACAGCTCTGTGTGTAAAGCATGTTAAAGTTTGACCGCCTTTTTTTGCTAGACGAATTGTTTTGAAGGTCATGGCTTATTTTCGATTTTAAATAAAAGCTGTTGAGAAAGTTGTAAACCCATAAAGCTAAAAGTAAATTGTCAAGCTTTTGTATTTCTCATTTAATAAATTTGTTTTTGTAAACTTGATGTCTTGGACATTTATTCATACAGGGATGTTTCATTGTGGTGTAGCAGAGTTGAAGTATTTACTGGACTCTTTACCAAGAAAAAATATTACTGTAGACATCCATGCAGGCACCCTTGCAGTCAAAAGTTAGACTATTTTAGAGTCCATGTGCAGTCTTTTTCCAAAACATCCTTTTTATCAGTTTCTGCAGTGTCAGACATTTTAATAAGGATCTGTTCCCAGTGCAGATTACAGTATTTAGCACGTCTTTCTTTTTGCATCAAAGACACTTTCAATGTGAACTTTGTGGTTAAAATTAAATTGTCCGAAAAACCACTAGAGGATCATGAACAAAACCAGCTGCACAGACCGTAGAAATATGCCGACTGAATGCTTTGCCTTTCTTTAAGAGCTTCAGATTATTTTCACTGGTAGGGGAGCTTTCTCAGAGCAAAATTCAAGCTTGATTTATGCTATCAGCCAGCTGTGAGTGGGATGCTTACTGAGTGAGTGAGTGGGATGCCAGCATCACCCTGCAACTCACAACTGGCAGCCCACTGAAGCTCAGCAGGTGTGAACCCGGCCAGTACCTGGATGGGAGACCTCCTGGGAAATCAAAGGTTGCTGCTGGAAGTGTTAGTGGGGCCAGTAAGGGGCGCTCACCCTGCAGTCAGTGTGGGTCCGAATACTCCCAGTATAGTGAGAAGGACACTATACTGCAAAAAGGCACCGTCTTTCGGATGTGATGTCAAACCAAGGAAAAGAGTAGGGGTGCTACCCTGGTGTCCTGGCCAAATTTCCTATTGGCCTTTACCAATCATAGCCTCCTAATAGACCCCATCTAAGAATAGGCTTCATCACTCTGTTCCCCTCCCCACTGATAGCTGGTGTGTTGTGAGTGTGCTGAGCTGCTCTTTGGTGGTGGTGGTTGAGGGGAGTTTCCATTACCTGTAAAGTGCTTTGAGTGGAGTATCCAGAAAAACAGTATGCAAGTGTAAGGAATTATTATTCTCCAGGTGGGGTCCAGGGCATGGTGGGGTTGTGTGCTAGAGATGGAATGTCCCTTTCACAGCTTTCTGCCCAAAGGTGGTGTTTAGGAGTGTTGCTAGGAAGACCCTCCTCTCGTTCACCAGCATGGAGCTTCCCATGCGTTTCAAATGCCGAATCACATAGGTGGTTATGGGTGTTGAGGAGGTGCGTCCATGTTGTCCTTGTGTAGTACAGGGGCTGTAGATGCATGTCAGACGGGTGGAACACTTGGCAATTTCAAACTGTTCGGGTATGAACTGACAGTGGTCAATATGTTTTCAGCAGAAAAGATTTGACGCATTCTTCTCACTCCTGTCTTTCAACTAGAATTTCAAAACAACTGTTCTATAATGGTGACCCATAGGACACTGTGCTGTAGAAAGTCCTGTTCTTCAATGAGATAGAGGCATTAAACTGAAGTCCTGACTACTTGACCATTAAAGATTCCAAGCCACCGTCCCTACTAATTTCCACCTTAGCCTTACATAGTCTGGCCTATCTGCACTTACCCACTTAATTCAATTGGTAGTCATTTTTCGCTTCTCCATCTGATGTGCGGTTTAGTGGGGTTGCTGGGGCTGCCATGCTTCAATCAGGTGGGTGACGCACTTCAGTGGTGGATGAAGTGGGTCCCCTCTTGTAAGCAAAGCCCTTCGGGATGGAAAGTGCTATACAAATGCTAGAAATTAAGTGCCCTGCTTTATAGATCTTGCATTCATTTTAAGTACTTGTTCTTCAAACAAAGTCAGTCAAGGACAGATGTGTCATGCTTTTAAAAATGTATTGTATTATTTGTTTCTGAAGTAAAGAAATGTTCTTTGCCTCACTGAGCGTATTGATATTCTTTGGCAATTTGCTGTGTATTCATAAATAAGGATTGGAAAACAGGTTGAGCATGGGTTTATTGACTAAGGAAAGTAAAAAAAAAAACATTGATGCTGTGCTGCTGGCATACAAAACAAACCCTACCTTGAGGAAGACTGGAATGTGCTCCACTCAGAATGCAAATGTTAATTAACTTGCTTCAGTACCTCTACATAGTCACAGTCTGTCAAGTCCAAGTCTTACAAATGACGGGAACAAACACTGTTAATTGCCTGAAGAAAAGTGTCATTGATATTGGTTTTGGTACTTTGACACTGGCATTGGCCTGGACTGTGTAAATGGGAATTAAACCTTTTAAATGCTGAAATGATCAAGGTTTTTGTAAGGAACAGTTTGGTGTCTGCACTCAAGTCAGACTGTTAGTGTGTGTGATTCATTTCAAACTCATCAGAAAAAAATCAAAAAAGGAAGCACTTCTCCATAAAGACTGTTGTGTTTTTACAGCTAGATAGTTTTGAATGTGGTTGAAGCAAAAGGCAGAATGAGAGAACTAATTCCAGATATCAAAACATTAATAGTTTCATTTTCAAGTCTGAATTAAAATGTAAACTGTACAGTAGATTCTTCAAGTCTCACGAACACGGAGGGCTCCAAGGATGGTCGAAGCTGCATTAAGTCAGATACGGCTCTTGCAAACCATTTTTTGGATCTTTGATGCATCCATTCTCTTCATTATATACTTAAATAATCAAACGGTTTAGATTCATTGTGGTCTAATTGATATGACTTGTATGCAAAATACTACGTATGGCACCCTGAATGTTTGGAAATCACACGTTAGGTCCGATTGGAGCTTCTTGTGGGATGTGCCCACAGGAAAATGACTCAAACCCTATAAGCAGAAAGAACAGGTGGAACTGGATGTGGTGTGCATTTCAAAACCTGAAGGAGTATTGGAAGCCATCTCATCCTTCTAGCAAGATCCCCTTGATTTGAGGTTGCAACAGGTAAAGACGTGTCGGATTGAAGGGATGTTTCAACACGTTCCATCAGTTTTCCATGGGATGGAGATCTGGAGATTGCTTTGACCAGAAAATGCGTTTGAAGTCTATTTCCTGCTCTTCAGTCCATTCTTGAATTATCTTCAACTTGTTTCAAGGTGCCTAGTATTTGTTCTGAATATTACGTAAAAACCTGTATTAGATTAGTTAGGTGCCTTTTCCATATTTTAATAGTTTTTGCATACACTTCATTTATATATTCTTACTTTCAATACTTGCGGATAATAGTGCCTTGTATTGCCTAGATAATATTGTAATACCTGAGATGTGAAGCACACAATTAATGACCTGAACGTTCCGTTTGACAGGACGTGTGGAGATTTACCATCTCTTGAGGAAAACCTGAAAATGGAGCTGAATAGAAACAGGAACGCTTTCTAATGGTGTACTCATCAGGCTGAAAACCCATTAGCCTAATGAAAACTGCAGGAGACCAAACAATGGTGGGAATGTAATTTGAATAGAAAAGACAGTTCACACGAAGAAGGGCAAAGAAGAGCACCACTGAACAATAAACTGGTTGACTGGATCGAGTCGTTCTCTTACACCTCTCCTGCCTGGGGGGATGACTTTGTAAACACTGGTTATTACCCAGTTAAGGAAATGAGGAACTGGGAATATTTTAACCACTGTGAAATGTCAACCTCTGCTTTTTGGAATTTTTTTAAATACAAGGAGAAGCACTCGTGACACAGGTTCAACATTTGCATTCATACGTGTTGCAACATTCACCTGGATATGTTGCCTTACTGAGGTTATACCAAAATAAACATCCTTATTTTAAAAAACAAAACTCGTGTTTTTAGGTTGTTACATTTTTGTATTTTAAAAAATACACTGTCAGTGCAGTTTTGGAACCAATTTATTTATCTTTCCTTTTTTTCAGAGTGTAGTTTTTTGTGATGGTGAAATTCAATGAGTTGTTTCCAAGGGAAGTACACGCTAAGTTCAAATGCAGTTTAAAAAAATAGAGAGAATTGTACAGGGAAACCATAAAGTGAACGAGTGGTCAACTGGATCAGCAAGTCAGCAAGAAGATCAATAGAGCACGGGAAGAGCTGTAACTCTCAATAGGTGAATCTCCAAGAGCAAACCCATGCTTCAGAAAGCTTAACAGAGAACAAACTGCTGTTGTTGAGAAAGTTAAGGTCATTTAGAAAGAGCTTGTTATGTTTTTCTGAAAAAAAATGTCAGTTCTTCAACAATATTGATTCTGGGGTTCCAAGGATACATGATTCCTTTGCCCCTTTTGGCTTTTGCAATTATTTATGTGTGTTGAGGTCACGTCTTTGTCAGGGCTATGGCTGTTATACACTGAGTGCTTGCTGAAGGGACAGCAGTGATTTATGGCTGACAGTAATGGAAGTGTATGTTTTCTGTAGTTTGAGGAATAGGAAAGTGCTCCCTCCTGACAGTATGTACGCTCCTAGCAGGCACCGGTAGATAATGTTGTGGTGCTGCCCCTTTTGACTTTATCATCAGTGATTTCATTTTTTTAGTGAAATAGAAAACAATCATTGGGCTAATTTTGGAGTTCTTTAAAACTTCCTTTGCAATTCTGTTTCTGGAGTAATGAAATTTCAATCATTATATTCTTTAACTTGAATATTCAGGCATGTGCATTATCTTGGATGTTTACAGCAGCTGTTTTCGTTCATGGGTGGCGCCCTGTTTAAAACACTTAAATTCAGACAGCTTGTGCTTGCTTACTTTCAGCCTCATGCTTCATGGATTTCCAGTTCCAGCTTGTATGAACCCTCAGTGCTGAACTGAGCTTTGGGACGTATATGTGAGCACAGGAAAGGTTACAAACATGAAGTGGCCATTTGGTCCATCTAGATCAGTGGTACCCAGTCCTGGTCCTGGTGACCCCACACAGCTGTTGCTTTTCATTCCAGCCCACCTTGATTAGATAATGGAAGCCTTTATTGATCTAAAAAGCTTCTTCATTGCAATATTTGTATTTTGTTTCTAGTCACAAATTTGAGGCTTTATTTCACTTGCAAAACACAACGGTTAAATCTCCAACATGTTTAAGAGCTGCACACAAACAGTTGAAATTAATTTTATTATTATGAAGCCCAAATGAAGAGTTTGATT